TGCTGCCTCTAAAGGTAATTTTTATAGGAGAATAATGGTTGTGACTGAGCAGTTATGATCCTTTTCTACCTACCCATCTAGCTGACCTTCTGACAAATTGGAATTCACTCATCCTTGCATTCTAAATCTAAATATTTACTAGTTTAAGTCAAATATTTGACAGAGTCCCAGCGGTTATCCAAACATTAGAACTTACCAATCAAATGTCCAATTGATGGGTGAATTACTACATCCAAAAAGTGCAACCAGATGTGCACCCACCTTAGGAGAGGCCACTACCTCCTGAAGCTGAGAAAAATGTTTCAGAAATGAAGTTGACTTGAAAATCAGCTGGGTTCTGAGGAAGTGTTTCAATAATAAGGAATAAAGGCCCAGATGTGAGAACCAAGACCACCACCATTGGAGTGCCTCAGTGAATCAGATGCCACCACTAGCTTTGTTAGCAATATCATAAGCAGTCATGAAGATTGAGGTGAACGAGGGGGTTTCCACCTCAACAGCAGTTCAGCCAATACCTTCCAAGAAGTCTGAAGTGAAGCATCCATGGCAATTGAGGATCACTCTACCAACAACCCTATGTACCATCATCACTGTGTATATGACCATGCAGCAGATTTCAGTACTGAAAAGGCACTGCAAAGAGATGGGCAGAAAGTGGACAGAGGCTTGGACCATATAGAACTGCAAGGAGTGCCAGATGTGTCAGAAGGATGCTCTACCCTCCATACTGGAAGAAGAAGTCTGCCAGCTATGCACGAGCTACAGGAGACCAGAAAAGTCTTGGCCTGGGGAAAGAGATATCATCCATGTCACTAAATTAGACAGTAACTGGTAAACTGTCACTTTGGAGAGTTTATAGCCAGAGTTGAGGTAAGGGGAGTTGGACCTTGTGCTTGCCCAATTTTTTAAGGGTTGTACTTATTCTATAAACTTCTGCATTTCAGTTTTAATTTTCTGTGCATCATAATGATTATTTTGTGTTCTTTACTTAATAGAATTTCTAAGAACTCAATGTTGCATTTTCAATTTACCATGTATTATTGTCAAAAGGTTATAGTATGTTCTGCAGTGTTTTATTTGGCCATCTGTATACGAGCTCGGTCAATTTGACTAACCTTGTATCCATCTCTAACTGTAAAAACTATACATACCATAATTCTGAAGGTACTAAGTGTATCTTCACGAAATTTGGCAAGTCAGTTTGAGTGAAATGTGATTTTCATGATGATAATAAAAATACTTATTTACATAACCCCAAGAGATCCTAAACCAGCATCAAAAGTTTGTTTGGTAAAATGTTATACTTTATTTTTTATTTTCTCTACCCTAGCACTAACTGTAGGGAAATCATCAATATACTGTGAAATGAAACATGAAAAATATGAAATAAAATTAATAACATTTTTTCTATCTTGAATAATTACAGATTGTAAAAGATGATTATAGCTTCTACTCTATTTACATCTGCTTTCTTTTAATTTTATGGTTTTATTGCTGTAATTTGGATTGTACTGTATAAGAAAAGTAATAAATTCAGATTTCTTATATGATATCTTACCTCCCACCCATGTAACAACCTGTCATCAATAGGAGTGCAATACACCCTCCTTATGCAGCCAACTCCCTCTATACCGTAGATCACCACTGTAATTTCTCAATTTGAAACTTGTATGTAACGATGCATTTTTTTTACTCCTGAACTTGTGACATACAGACATTTTTCAATAAAAGTATCTCCAAAGATGTTGTTTCACAAGTGTCAGTAACTTCTACTTTGTCTAGTATGAAACAACAAGACTTTGTTCATGCTAACCTACCAACTACATTGGTGTTAGGTATGTCTTTGTCTGTGGGGAAAGGAGATGGCTTTTATGTGGTGGAGTGGAGCCTTTCATGTGGCCTAAGCCTTCTTTTGTTTCTGACATGCCTCATTCTTGACGGAAGGGATTTTGCCTATTTTTTCCCACCTACCTTTGCCTCATTTTATACCTCTATTGTCTTAATACTGCCTCAGTCTTTTTCTTGATTTCATGACTAGATTTCTCATGTATGTTTTTTTTTAATTATTCACTTATTTTCTCCACTACTTTGGGGCACACATGCCTCATCTTCCTTCCTTTGTTACCTCACATGACTAGGAATGACTTTGTGTGGTATTGCTTTTTTCTTTTGACTCATAAACTCTGGAGTTTTTCCTTCAGATTTTGGAGTCAGATTCTCTCTGTCTTAGGTTTTCCTAACTTTTGCTTAATCACACTAGACTTTTCTGTTATTTTCCTTCTTTCCATGGTAATCCTCCATTCCCAGAATGCTCATTCACTTCTCTTTTCTACAGTGAATGTTATCTTCCTTGGCATTTTCACTTCTTATTTGGTTTTTTGTTTTGCTTCAATTGGTTGGGGCATGATGCCTTTGTTACTCAATTTACTTTTACCTCCCTTATATCTCATATGCCTTCTTCTGGCTCCTTTCATCTATCTGTATGACTTTACTGGTATGCTTGTATCTCTGTCTTATGCTGGAAACACATGCCAATGTTATGCCTTATCCTCATAGGTTTACTCTCTCTCTCTCACCACTTCCCATTCTTCTTTCCATTTGTCCTTTCACTGCTCGTAGACTTTGGAACTCTTAGTCTTGACAGGGACTATCCTATAGGCTCTGGGTCAGTAGGGCCTATTTCATTTATATTATGAACTTTTGCCCTTCTTTTGCAGCCAATGGTTGAGTTTGTATATCAGTGAGCCTTAACCTTTGGTTTTTCCTCTCCTCCTCCAATGTCATCTTTTCCTATTATTTCACATCCCCAAGAGATTTTGTTTCTTGCCAACACTGGTCCAGGGCAATGTTTGTCTTATTGGCCACATTCACTATTTGATGATTTTCCCATCCTTTTCCAGGTTTTTCTTTTCGTAATTTCATGGTTCCCAGTGAATATGTAGATTGGTGCTTCTTTTCTCATTTGGCTCTGTCTTAACAAGCCTCCTTCAGCCAACCTTTTCTCCTCCTTTGGCAGGGGTTTGTCTGGGTTGGTTGATTCAACTTGAAGAAGTCTCATCTCACACTTATTTCATTTGGGTGTTGTTGTTTTTTGTCTGCAGAGCCCAGCCTACTACTCGCTGATTGGTTTCTCATGCCATATCTTCTTCTCTCACTGTGCTAGCAGTTCTCTCTCTATTGGGGACTTGGGCTTCCATAGAATCCTGTATCCAAAGCCTACAATGGACTGCAAGTTCTCTGGATCCTTGCTTGGGATCTCTTGTCCTCATCCATTCTCCTACCTCCTTCTTTACTCAAAGATTTCACCTGGTGACTTGAACAAACTACTCTCATAGTAGGTATTCCTCTTCTTCTTGTATGAGATGGGGGGGGGGGCACATCTAGACTATCATGTGAATTGGGATTGTTGGTTCCACATCCAATTATCCTTTCAATTTCATCTCTTTGAACTTTTGGCAGTAATCAATGAAGTAAAATACTGATTTAATTACAAGATAAAATTATCTATATAATTAATAAGGACTTTGTTTATATGTAAATCTTAGCAGAGGAAAAATAGTTTGGCTCAACAGCATAAGGCCAAAAACCTGATGCTAATGATGAAAGAGAAAGGACCAATAAATTTGTTGGCCACTATTTTAGGAAGAAAACTAAACAAAGCTTCATTTTCAACTATGAATGGATTACCTGTTCATGAATATATTTTGAGTGATGAAGTTTTTATGGAGAGTAATTCTAATGATGAAGTAATACCCAAAAGGCTGTATACTGAAATGAAAAAATGTAAAAGATGATCAAAGAAAGTCAGTGAAGTTAATAAAGACGTGGATAATTTAAAACAGAGATATCTTGTAAAAGGCAAGTATTAGAGTTGGAAGAAGAAAACAAAATGTACAGAAGATTAACATAAGTTTGCAGGAAAACATTTTAGAAAAGCTTCAAAGTAAAAGTAAGCATTTGTTTCAATTATTGATCTACATGGATGTTTTTTTTTTATTATTTAGGAAATAGTTTTCTTTATTTATTTGTTTTATGCAAAGCATTGACTGCATTCTATAAATGAGACATGTAATTAAATATATCTTTTCTGTTAATATTCCAAATAATATGATATATCAATATTGATTTATGTATAACTTATGTATTTAGTTTTCAAATATATAAAAGATTAGATATAAAACTGTGCTGAAGTTCACACACATACTATTGTATAAATTATTTTATATCAATGTATGGTTTTAACAAAAGTGCTTTAATTGCAATGATTTTTCTCTAGAAAATTTTGGTTGAGCTGTGGTTATTTATTTTTGGCATATTTCTCATTAGTTTCAGAACTTATAAGAACTTGAAAATATCCATACCAGCAAGATGAATTCTCTAAAAAAAAAGTACAAGGTTTTTACCACATTTTATTTAAAATGAAGATTTAGTAACTGAAATGGGCAGGTAAAATAAATGTTTGTATTTCTTGTGTTAAGAAACTGATATATTTGATAACTGTGTAGCATTTCTAAACATGGCTGAATATTGTCTATGCATCAAATATAATGTAGAAAAATTCTTACAACACAATTAGACATCTTTATCCTATTTCTCATATAGCAGAAGAGTTCCTTTGCAATGTATCATATTGGGAAATCAGTTTCAATGCCTGTGTTTGGTAATTATTTTCCATAATTTGAAAATGATAGCAAATACACAGACATAGTGATAGATTGTATGTATAAGTTATAAATCTAATAACATTTGATGTTATCATGTATGTCTAATAATGATACAACCTTCTCATAGTGTTAGATGGTTGTTCCTGCATAATTAAGTAAAAATTAAAAAGTTGTACAGAAATGCTTTAAAAAACTAGTTTTATTTCTATGAAGTATAGTAAACTTTATCAAAATGTATTGATTTGCATATGGGTATGCATATTGGATGTGTAAAGTACTTATAATAGTGTGAGGAAGTTAATTTTTATGTCATAACTAAGGTACTCAGTTGGGTTATTGTTTTCTTTAACTTTTATTTTATGTATTTTTTAGGTTCATATTGGAAAAAGAGTGTAGATCAATCAGCATAAATGGGATATGATACGGGCAAATAAAAAAAGTCTTTATGTATTTGTAAAAATATTGCTGTTGCACTATGGGGGTCTGATAAGGTTAAAAACCATAGTTTGGAGAGGAAAATCTGCACATCAAATAAAACTGCTGCCCAAATCCACACTGAATCCTCATAAGTATGCTGCAGTGAAAGGTGAGAATATGAATTCATTCGGGTGTTGAATAACTCATGTTTTTTTTTTAAATTATAAAAGAAAAGGTTAGTAGAAATTAATGCTTATTATTTGTAAACCTTATCTAGGTTTGAAGTTAAAATTTTATGTAACAAACATCTCTTTATGAGTTATCAATGTTGTCTCAAATGACTTGTCTTAAAACTACATTGTCCAAAATTAAGTTGTTTTTTTTGCAAGGAATTACATTTTACTTCCACTGTTTCTTTCAGGCTGTTACAGAAACTGGTTACAGCAGAATGGTATTCCAGATGAAGAGGTAATCAAAAGAAGTGCCAAAGTTGGATATTACATAACAGACAAAATTATGGATATAAATAAAGGAATAAAAAAGCAACAAAAAGTTAAACAATGTTCCTCACACACCAGCAGTGAATGATGATGCGACTTTTCTTATGTAACAAAAAACAATGTAGGAAATAGAATGTAAAGTTATTTAGTAATACAAGCTAGTTTAAACTAAAATAACTGTGTAATTTTGTATTTTCAAAGAAAAATAACTTTTGCCTACACATCTTACGATGAATTTAACTTTCAAACATTTTAATTTAACATAAGGGAAAAAAATAGTAACAATGCAATGTTTTGAAAAAGCTATTCATTAGTAAAGATTACAAATTACCTAGTTCAACCAAAAGAGTGTCTCATTTAAGTTCAAATTTAAAACAAATGGGTATTTTAAAAATAAGCAGCAGTATAAATCTTACATGATCACCGAAAAAACTGGGAACCATAAAGTTTTATGATTAGCTAAGCTAGACTACTCAGCTCAAAATGAACAATCAAAGAGATGAACTAGGTCTTCTAGCTGTGGACTAGCAGCAGCAGGGAGAAACTGAGCCAATCAGCAAGGCCATGTCTCAACACACAACAGCTGCTGATCACCAGCTAGTGCTGGTCTGTGCTAGATTTTCTAGTAGGGTCTGCATCATCAAGTTTGTGTTTGCCTTTTGCAAATTTCAAAAAGCTGTTCAGAAATGAAAGAGATTGAATGGTCCATCATAATAAATACCCTGTTAAATAAAACTGAAACTTGTTTATTTTCTCATGTACAAAGTATAATATTTATGGTACAATGTTAATTTGGTATCATTAGGCACAACAAGGAGGGAACTCCCAATATAGATAATATGAAAACTAGTGAATTGATACATTGGTATTTTATTGGTTGAGCCTAACAAAATTGCAGAAAATAAAATAATAACATGTAATACACAATATAGGGTAAATCTAAAATAATGTTTTGAACCACTATTTTGGAACAACATTAAACTGATTTGTATAAAATTTTTGACACTTTTATATGTTCTCCTCTGTCCAACAATTGGTTGTTGAGAGAAATGCATACACTGTCTATGTTCCTCTTAACATCCAATTTTATAACAGAAGTTCCAAGTACCTTAATGGCATATGGTGCCATAGAGGGGGTTCCGCTTAAATTGACCTTAAATGGTTTGAAGTTGGTAATATTTGGATTCATGAACATTCCACAATTTTTCTTTTGATATTATTTTCTGTTTTATATATTAATTTGGTTGAGTGACGATTGATTTTATGATCAAGGTTCCTCATATGTAGAAATATAGCATTAATTGTTTGGCCATTTGCAACATCTTTTTATCCCACAAAATTTACGAATGAAATGCAACAAACAACTATAGATAATTCAGTAATCATGACATAAAGATGCCTTACACTAATGAAGTGTAATCTGCTGATTTTTAGTTTGTGTGATATTATATTACAAAAAGACTCACTACAAATCTTACTGTGATATTATAAAAACTTAACTACCTTTCAGTTGATTGGGACTATCCAACTTCAGAAAAATTCCAGGAATGAGATTTTCAAGTGAAATTATAAGCAAAATGGGACATGCTTGGATTCTATGTACTTGGCTATGAATTCAGCAACAAGGATATGGATATCCATACATCAGTTGAATTGCTTCTGGATATGAAGATCTGATGCCAATAATTTCTGATGAAGCTGGCATTAGAGGTGAAAATGTGTAAGCTAAAAATGTGAAAATTCTACTTTAGAAGAATGTGTAAAATTCTAAAAATGCTGTAGCAGCTAACAAGGTGTACATTGTACTTTTACTATCTGATGCTGATGTAATTGTAAGGGAATAAACATCACTTAATTGTTGACTGTCAATAGCTGACAAATGGCATGAAATCTGTGAAAGTCTGATGAAATAATCAACTGAGGGCAGAACTTTACACATTTTTATGTTGTTGCTACAGAAACATTAGTCTGAAATGTGACAGAACAACTATTATGGTTTTTGACCTATTACTTCTACTCTTTTTATTTTCCTTTAGTCACAGGACACGAGTTTGTTAAGTATTTTATCATTTGATTAATAAACATCACATACTGTTGTGAACAGTTTTACTAATGCATTACCCCCCCCCCCTAGTTAATATTTTAAAATTTCCAAAATAATTGTTTCCTCATCCTAAGTGTGGTTGCAATGAAGTGCTTTAGTAAGTTACTCAACTTTCCCTTTCTCTAATGCATACAGCATGTGTATTTACTAACTGGCTATTAATTGTGTCCTCTTATGAGAAAGATAGCTTGTAATGTTGAGAGAGAAAAAGTTCTTTTTCTTGTTGGCAAATTGCATAACAGCTAGTGGTTCATACACCATTTGCACAGGATATGCTGTGAATGCATGGGCTGCTCATAGAAAGTGGGGCCATGCACAACCCGTGATATACGTTAACTTTCAAAGAAGTCAGAATTTGCTTACACTAATAGTTTAAGAATTTGCACTTATTTTAATCTCATTTAATATTAACTTCTTGAGATTATTTTCCTTTATTCTTAACTTGATTTTAGAGCAACTTATAAAGGGAAGCACACTGAACACCTTTGCCTTTGTTTTGTTTTGTTGTAGTTTTGTTTTTGTATGATAGAAAAACTTATGAAATTGTATATGTTTTCCTTTTATACAATCAACTTTGTCAGAGTTCAGGGAGAAACACACTTTATAACTTGATTTATTGAATCTCCAATTTATAGTCACTAGCTACTCTGAAGTAAATCAATGAGCTAGAAAATACCACAACATTTTGATAGTGAATAATAAACTTCAAAAAATTACTTTTGATTATACCTAATCCGGTGTTTTTTTGTTAAAATAAAAACATGGTTTTCTTTCTCAACATATGATACAGTATGCTCAGTCACTAAACTCATTACCTACTTTGACAGTAAAAATGATTATAACTTCTCTTTCCATTAATAAAAATACTTTTTTCTTTCCATCTACATATATAAAAGTGAAATCTGTTGTATATTTGTCCACTAACTCTTCCCAAGCTATTTGATCAATTTCCACCAAACTTGGCATGGTGAATCCTATGGTCTGCAGAAGTAGCCAAAGGAGTCAAAGTTCTGTCTGTCCATCTGTCATGCATATAATAGTTAGATTAGATTTGAGGGCAGAATGGTAGAGATTGAGATGAGTAATAAAATCAAACAATCAAATCAAATCATAATAGCTGTCTGAAATTTCCCATTACATTTGCTAGGTTGTCAAGGAGACACATTGACACAACATCACCAAATTTTGCCCAGTCAGAACCGTCGGCTACAACTCTATAATAAACTGCATGGTTTAGTCGCAGCAAATTTCAATTTTGAAAATGCTCAAGTTAAAGCAAGCTCCTTCAGCTTAGCAGGCTAACAAAGATAAAATCAGGAAGACAGTCCAATGAGTAAACCTCAAAATCTATATAAATAAAAGCAAAATTGTGTGTTGATGTGACCACTAACTAACTTCTTGCACACTATTTGACCAATCTCCACCAATCTTGGTATGATGACTCCTACAGTCCCTAGAAGTAGCATGGAGGGGGTCAAAATTCCCAGTGAGGGGGTTGGACCACCCATCTAATTCCAGAAAAATACCAAATCAGCACAACTTGACACAGTTATACGGGATGGCAAGAAAGGTCATGAGGGGGTGAACCCCCATCTAGTCTATATAAAAAAAAAACAATATGTGTGTGTGTGTGCATCTATTCCTTATATGTTTCCACATTTCTTGATCAATCAGCACCAAACTTGACACAGTAATACAAGATGGCATGAGGAAAGACATGAGAGGGTATGTGTGTAATTATGGACCCCCACCTAGAAAAAACATACTACCAAATCAACACAACTGACATGAGGAATGTCATAAGGGGTGTTGGACACCCATCTTATTTATACATATAAAAGCAAAATTGTATTTTGTCTCTGTACTAACTCCTAACACACTATTTGACCAATCTCCACTTGGCATGGTGGCTCCTGTGGTCCGCAGAAGAAACATGAAGGGGTCAAAATTCCCACGAGGTTTCCCACAAAAATAGGTGCACATGTAACCTATTTCTGTATTTTTCTATAATACTGTAACACTGTCCATTCCTATTGTCTAAACAGTGGGAAATTCTACCATAAATCTTCAAAGCTCATTAAACTTTAATGTGAAAAAAAAATTTTCTAGGTAAATTTTTTCTAATGATCAAATATGTCTCTCTTTTTCAATGTGAGGGTGAATGTGTGGCTCTACTGTAGTGTTTTCAGGTTTATTTTTAAAATATAATCATGATCATGGTGCACATCCATAGAGTGTCCACCCCTAAAGTGGAGGTCTATAATTTACTAAAAAGGACTCTTCATATAACATTATAATCCACTGGTAAATATGCCTTGAAAAAACAAACAAGACTCAATACTTTATTGTGCAGTGTTTATCAGCAGGTATAATCTTCAGTGTTCCTTAAATTTTAAGGTTTAAGTTAAATCCATCATTAGAATAAGGAACTATTTTGTGTTTAAACACAGAAAGTGTAAGACACTGCTCGAACTTCATCTATGCCCAGGGTTCTAAAAAGACTTAGTAGATGGTATTTCGCCACAGTTTCGGAATAGTATGGCATTTGGCAAAGTGTGTGTGTGTCGGTGAGTGTTTAGCGTGTTTTCACTTTCAGTGATATTTCATTAACAGTTGTGAAGTTTAAAATTATTGAACTGTCAAAAATGACTATGTTTCAGGAATCAAAGAGACTTTGGCCATTAAAAACTTTTATTAGAAATAGAATGCAGTGGATTACTGCTGTGCTATTTTTAAAAGTGTAACTGTAGTAACAAAGTACATTTAAAAAGTACTCATTATTTGTTTTAAACAAATTAATGCTCCATACTTAATTATACTGATCACTTCTCTAGCAGGAAACTGTGCAGGGAGCTGATATAAAGAACTGATCACTTTTCTAGCAGGGAGCTGATACAAAAGAACTGATCACTTTCCTAGGTATAAAATTAAATTTAAATTACTTTAAGCTCTCATTTGATTATTAATCCTTTAGGAGAAAAGTAATTTGCTTAACCTTTAAAATGCCAAGAAAAGCCACATTAAAATCTCCAAAAAAATAGTTGGAGGCTGCAAGAAAAAAAAGGAAAATGAATCACAGCAGGAAAGAGCACAAAGACTAAAAGCTGATAAAGTTAGAAAAGCAGATAGGATGAGAAATAAATAACAGGAAGAAAGAGAAGTAAGGCTTGAAGCTGAAAGAGTTAGAAGAGCTGAAATATGTGTGCAAGAATCTGATGAATTAAGAAATGAAAGAATTGAAGGAATGAGGGAGGCAGCTGAAACTGATGGGGAAAGAGATAGGTAAAGGAAAAGAGAGAGAAGGCAAGGATTACATTTGGCAGCTCATCACTATAATTCTTAATGTGGTATATCAAGAAGCTTTAATTTAGATTGTATAATTTTCGTTTTGAAAATCAAAGTTTTAGATAAAAATAAAATGTTATAAAAATTTAATTTTTTAAATAAATGTTCTTAAAAGAAGTTTCTTTCCGTTTTTAAATATCTATTTCAAGTAATTTGGACACCTGTGCAGGAAATGGGTAATTCAGCTAGTAGCATAATATTCTGAAGCATACTAAAAATAAGGTTTTCTTCTGGAAAATTCTAAAACAGCAGTAATACTCAGCATGTTTTCATAATAATCTCAATGTTTCAACCAATAAGTACACAGTTTCAAACCGTTTTGTACAATCACAATAAATGTTTTCATAATAATCTCAATATTTCAACCAATAAGTACACAGTTTCAAACCATTTTGAACAATCATAATAATAATCTGATACATCAATTAATAAGCATCAAATTTACACATAATTAAGTAGCAAAAATTTCTCAACCTATGCGAAATAACTGGATTTACTGAAGAAAGGAGAATAATCTATTCTCACTCACCTACACTGAAAAAATTAAAGTAAAATGTACAAGATACAAGTAAATTTTTTAGATTATTTGTATTAACCGTATGTTTCTGCCGCACAACTTAAAATAATAATTCAGAATACCCGACCTATTAGCTAAGATTAAGCTATATAGGCTATTGCCCAATAGTTATGTCTGATGTAACTATTGTAAATAACTTCTTATACTTTTTCATATATTTAGTTTGATATTAGATGGAAGTTCAAAGAAACAGCTGACAAAGTTTTACAATTGTAAAATAAACAAGCTCTCAATTGGGTTGGTCTACTGACTTAACCCTACAGTAGATATGCAAGAGCTACTGTATAGTTATTTTTAGCTTCTTTTACAGCCAACAGTAAATCTATTCATTATGTTCAGTTAATCACAAAAATACAACAACAATATTATTCTTGTATTGTTTAATATCACATCATTTAAATGTATATTTTCAAAGGAAAGGAATTTTAATGAAGCAAAAACAAAAAACTATATAATAATATTAATAAAGCTGAGTCATCACTTCCTCAAAAGTGTCTTAACTTATATTAACAAATTTATAAAGATATTTATAGTTTTTACCTTAAAATTTGTATGAAAAATAAGGTGAATTTCACTCTTGTTTTAATTTAAGATGTTATAATATAATAATGCTTCCAATTTACTTTAACTTCAATACACATCTGGTTTCTCATAACTCTCACTTTCTTTCCTAATTTATTTTCACAATGAGACTCGTACTATTCTTTAAGAAGATGTGGGGTTAAAATTATTAATAAAAATTACAGATTTTTTCCCCATATCCTCAATCAAGACTTCTAAAATTCTTCCCTAATTTTCATCATATCTGATTGGTTGACAACAGTGCCATAACATCTATGGTTTCGTGATAAAACCAAAGAGTCAGTATACAATTTCTTTTTTTTCTTATTATTCAATTTCTATTTTCTCTTTAGTTTTCTTTGAGCTTCTTATTCTCCTTTCCAGTTTGTCCCCTATTTTTCATCTTTTCCATAGCCCAAAATCTCAAAATTATTGCAGTATTTTTTCAACACATTCAAAAGAATATTTACCCTCATGCATATAAAAAATAAACTTATCACCAGAAAAACAAAGTTTTACTTAAAAGTCAAGCCTGTTTTAACTTATTAAAACTCACATGTAATGTACTTCCCTTGGAAATTACCAAATAATCTGCATCCAAGTAAGACAGGTAAAGGTCACCTTCATCTCCTCCAACATACTTTCAAATGGAAAGGGAAATAAATTGTATTTAATACATACACACAATAAAATAAACACATGAATATACAATCTAAAATGAAGAAAAACTATGTTTTGTATTCATATATTTGTCTTGAAAGTTATTAAAAATACAATAATATATTAAATGTATCTTGTAGTTTTTAATATATTAGTTTGCATATAAATAAACAAAATATATCCATCTAGAATATTAAATATTTATATTCCAAAATAACTTATAAAACATAAAAAGATTTTATTAATTTAAACGTGCTCAAACAAAATAGGAAAAGGTTATGTTTCTGTATGTGCATGTCTTTGTCCATTTGTTTTAATACAAATAATATTCTCCAAAAACAAAATGAAACATCAAAATAAAAAAGATAAAAAGTAATCTGGGAGCATTTTGGATGCTATAGGAAAAAGAACAATATTATAGAATGAAGGCCTAGGCTTATACAATCATACTGCTAATTTTTTTATCAATACTGTTGTAAAGTCATACAAAATCACAGTTTTTCTTTATAACTATGTTTCCATATGAAGTATTTTGTGCCATAGTTTTAATTAACATACTACACATTTAAAACAATAGATGCTACTTAATCATTATAATGAACTATGGAGGTTTAGAGAATGAAACATACAGGTAGCTCTTTCCGAAGTGTTCCATCAGGATAGATGCCAAAATGAAATACTTAGCAGAATTCTGTAGTATCAGGCTGTAAACATGTTGTCCACTCCTTTTAGTTTAAAGTTCACTAAATTTTTCTCTTTATATCCTTCACTTGTGTAGGCACTGTTTGACATATGCCTACAATTGAACTAAGTAGTTCTTTAAATTTGCCAGAGAGAAAATTGTGTATTAATTCAGCATATGTACAAGAGTTTTTTTTATTCAATTCACAATACTGTTGTGGTGAAATACAAGTGTGAGTTTGGATTTCACAGATGCTACATTTTAACTTGGGGACACACTCTTAGTGTGGAATTTAACATAAGTTATCCATTATAATACAGATATTACTAAGGCACAGTCTAATTTTTATAGCCTTCAATCTTATTTGTTTATGGACTCATAAATTAGAAAATCAGACTCGTTTTCCATGTCCACCTGTCATATCCTCTCTATCACAAATTTCCAATCATTCTTTCTGACATTTTATATCATATATAACCAACAAAGGCAATGTGTTAATCTAACGAATGATGTTTTAAGAACAGTTTTATCAATTTTATCTTGAGTTTGAAAGTTTATCTTGTGATGTTCAGATCAGGACATTGTTTGCTTTGTGCATGTTATTATTCCATTCTTAGGTGCATTATTTAAGTAAATAAAAATTATGCAGTGTACTAGTACTACCATTATATAGAAGTAGGTATAAATTATATCAGTAATCAACATCAAAAACAAGAGGTGAAATATAAGTGCCATACTTATTACTTTTCATGCATATTTTTTTTATTTTTATAAAAGCAGTTAAAATGTAAAAATTAGAAATTTTTTTGATTAGATAATATTAAATTAGGTAAGATGATAATAATAAAAATTTTTCACAAGGTATTCTTGAAAGCAGCTCATATGGTACATCATTCAACACAGTAACATGAGCTATGTGTTTGGTGAGTGATTTACAACTTGCATGACATGATTATTAGTTAAGCATATATCAAAGGGCAATAAAAGTTATCATTTTTCTAATATGAAAATGTATTTCCAAACATACTTACCTCCACTGACACTTATAGCTATTTCACGATCTTCATCTCTGCCATCTAAACATTGTGTTCACTTGCTCCAGTCTTTTAACCCCACTCAACTGCCCTCAGCAAACTCTAATTTGCAATACTTTACCCCAGCCCTCACATGCCCTCAATGCAGGTACTGTATATAAGCACTGTATACAGACAATATAATCACTTTTTCAAGAATTACCCATCCTGGTCACAAACACCTGCTCTTAGTGTGGAGGAAGGGAGGGAGAGTGTCAGCAGAGGTAAGTAAATTTGGAAATATATTTTCATTTTAGGAAAATGACAATTTCCAAAACATACAGACATTCGCTGACACTTATAGCTACAATCCCACATTGAGAAGGAGGAGGGGCCAGTGAGGGCATAGGTCATACAGAAAGTGTTGGCACAGAACAAAGGTGTACTATGAGAAGTGGTATCCTAGCAGTGAAAAGCACACTACATCCAGGTATGCTCGTCACCGAGAACTACGAAAAAATGAAAGGGTGGAATATTACACAAGTAAATATGATAGGCCAGCCCAAACCACACAGCCGAGGTTCCACGACTCAGGGCTGGATTTAATGGGTCATGATACTGTTGGCACTGATAAATATAAATTCAATTGTGATTTAAATTTTAATTTAGATCAAATTTTGTCTCTGATTCAGTTCTAGGACACAAGCCCCAAATTTATTATGTATTAGAATTTCAAATAACCTGAAACTGATTTAACTGATAAATTAAATTCAGTAGTTAAATTGTACTTTGTATTTAGTAGTCAAGTAAAAGCCAATATATAGTCAGTTTATGCTATTTGCCAACAAGATTGATACACACAGTTTTCTTTTTTTAACACAAATGTGCTTTAATATACACAAAAATGGTACAATTTGCAATAACAGCTACTACAAATATTTATTACAAACAAAAATTTTACAAACTTATAAGCAATATAAAGTTTTCCTTTTAATCTGGAACTTCTTCGATATCTTATCTAGGGTTCACGATGAGCGAGTTGTTGTAGGTATATTTCACTTACAGGAAGCTAGCTAGCCCTGTAGTCTTCACTGTTCATACACCTATTAAAGATTGAGTTTCCACCGATGACGTTAGGTTATTTACCGCTATTTACCGGCCACATATGCTGAGCTCTCCACGATTAATTTATATAATGTTTTTCGTAAAAATAATAATGTCCGATGAAAATCCACTGATGTTAAATGATATATAATGTTCGAACTTTGTAAATGCTCCTGGTAAAATATCTGAAGTTTTCCGATTGAAAAGCGTTATAACAATCACAGATATAGCTTCCAAAGTTTATAGCACACTGATTATAGCAAACTAATAATAGATATACCCCTTTTGGTGTATCACGTTTGTTATATTTATAGCCATGCGGAGGAATTCTATAAAATTCAGATTACATAACAATGAAAATTAAAGCATTTACATACACCCATATATTGTTTATTCTTACTCTCGAGAATCTTCTACAACTTTGGAGAATAGCCGAGTGTTTTGCAATACATATTTAACACTATGAGCTATGCATGTTCCTAAATATAAATTTAATCTAAACAAATGTTGATATTAAAATAAATAATATAATAACAAATTTATTACATTCACTTTAAAAATTGGCACTTTACACTCTTTATGGCTAAACTCACGATCATGCAGTCTGGTTCTATTTAACTTTCTCTTATAAATTTATCAACGAGTATACATATATACACACGACAGCAGTCTCGAACATTCCACACACTGCTAGACATTATGATGCAACAAAACTCAGTTAAAATTCAGGTTTAAGTAACATGACCTCAAATCCCAACAACTGAACGATACAATGTATGATACATACACTGTTATGGGAAACAAACCCGAGATAAACTATCATTTCTAAAAATAACTCATTTTAACACTCACGCTGAGTAAACAATCTAAATCATAATGTTAACTTTAAATTTAAAATTTAAATGAAACATTCGTATATCTAATAAATGTCAACTGATGCTGTGTGTCATTATAACGTTATGATTGGCAAAAATGCATTAGCCATATTCAAGATGGCTTGCACATGCTTTTTTTTTAAAACACAAATATTACAAAATTAACTAAAATATAAAAGTAAAATCTAAATGCAATTTAACTGTCTATCAAACTAATAAGTATGAGGGGAGAAAAAATATTCAAGCACTAGGGGAACTGATCTTGACAATGGAAAATGGCAGTTAGCTTGTCATTCCAAAAATAATTTATGGCCTATGCTTCCTTTTAGCCTAGAGAAACTAAGTGAGAAGTCTGCTCTCACTTTTGGTTATAAACATGCTATTCAAGTGTAGAAAAAACTGTTGCTTAGCATCAGGTCACTTTGGAATGTGAGCATTGAGTATACCAGAAAAGAGCAAGTAATAAGCTAATACTTGGAATGCCTGTATAAAATGAAGTTAATGTTTAGGCTTTGAACTAGTACTTTAAGAAGCTCCTCTAGTCTGTTGTAGAAGTACTGAGAGAAATGTAAGCAACCAAATGTAAAATATTTCAACTGCACATGTATCATGTGACAATGAACTGAAATTTTAATTGTTTATTTAAGAAGTTTCTTTTAAAATAAAAGAATAATAACTTGGATAATATGAAACTTTTAAAAATAACATAGTTGATAATATTAAATCCATTAAACTACATTGATAGTAAAGTGCTTTAACTAAATTTTGAATATAACTCAGTAAACTTTGTGACATGCACAGAAAGAAATTTAAAGAGTGTGCCAGTAGGCATTGGGTAAACTCTCTCAACACGAGGTCGGTTAATTTGATCGAGTCACATGACCTTTTGTACTCGTTTAAGTCTTTATAAATTGAATACTTATAACTCTCAATATATTGGGTATATCTTCACAAAATTTGACAGCCTTTCAGTTAATATTACAAGTCTTTCATATATAAAAAGTCATATTTCTTAGTGAAGTACTTTTAATAAAATAAAATAAAGTTTTGACCTTGAATATATTGAGTATTTGTTTTGAATAGTCCATGTGCAAAGTAATTTTCATGTTAAAATTAAAAATTCTTTTCATCATCTCAAATTTCCTTTGTGTACACCCTAAAACCTCCTGAATCCATTTCAAGCTTTTTTTTCACTAAAACTTTACAGTTTATCTGTTATGTTCTCTATCCTATCTCAAAAATGGGATCGGTCAATTCGACCAACCTCATAACCATAAAAAAAAAAATCGAAGTAAATCTAAATTAA